TTTTCTTTTTTCTGATGTTTGTAGTTACATTATCAATATTTAGGGAATTTGTTGAAGAATTCTATTTTATGGTAATTACGATTACGGTCCCTTCAGACCAATTTCCGCGCATGTGAGGAATTCTTCTCTTCAAGTAGTGATAACGCGTTGCGGTGTGAGGCACAGGCGCAACTCAAAATCAATATTTTTGGGGGAGAATGAAAAAGTAAGGTCCTACCGGGAGTCGAACCCAGGTCGCTGGATTCAAAGTCCAGAGTGCTAACCACTACACCATAGAACCGACTTACGTTAAGTTTAGTCGAAAGAAGTATACTATGAAATCTGAATAAGGTATCGATGTCCTCCACAGTGGATCCAGATGGACAGATGATATAAGCCCAGAATAAACCCACCAAGCTCCTGGATCTTGATCTACATGTAGTTTCAGTTGGGTTTGGGACTCGGCCCACTTTGGTTGTCATCCTATTCTCTTCCGTAAAATCTATAATGATTTTCTTTTTTTTTTTATAAATGTTTCATTTAGTATGGTTGTAATATTTAGTTTTTAGTTTTGGTTTTTTAAAATTTTATAACTATTAAAAACTAAAATTAAAAATAACAAACTAACAATTTGTTTAAAACAAGTTTTAAAAATTAACAACAAAAAATATTAACAAATATAATAGTATTAGAACTAGTTTTGTTTTTATTTATCTAATAATCATGATAATATGTTAAAAAATACAAAAGAAATATATCAGTTGTTTGCTTAAAGTTATAAAACTTATAAAAATTAGAATTAAAAATTAAAATCTACAACTATACTAAATAAAAATTTAGTTACTGAGGATATTTAAACTTTTAAAAATAATAATTTTATCATTTGTCTTATACCAAAAATTTTATAACCACTGATAGAATGGAAAGCTATCCTAATAAAGGGACCTAATATAAAGAGACCTGCCTCTTGTCAATTATTATAAGATAAGTGGTCATGCACATCACTTAATTTCCTAAAACTTTTTAGTTTTAACCCTTTTTTTAACTCCAAAAGGTAATCACCCTGACCCATAATAATAGTCATTTTATTATTTGCAAATTGGTCTAAATTAATTTTTTTAGGTATACTTAACTTTTGTTTGATAGGGTTAATTATCATCTAACTTTAATTAGCAATCTTAATATGAGAATATTTTCTGTATTCTTATTTTTTCCTAAGGATAATAAATTTTAAAATATAAATTATTTTTAAATACTTAGTATGTGAAAAAATAGGTTAAAAGAGTATTATTGTAAGACAAAAAGAGTATGAAAGTTATTAGATTTTTTCCTGACTAAGGCTTAGTTTGAGTGCTGACCTGTAACTAGAATTATTGATTTTTTAGTTTTTTAGTATTATAAAAATATATAAATATGTTTAATTAATATTTATTTTGATTAATATTTTAAATACTTTTTAGAATAGTAAAAGAATAAAAAATAAAAGTTAAAATATCTAGAAATATTGTCAAATGAAGTCTTAATTCTGATTAGTACCAATAAGTAAAGGACTGGTTTAGTAACATTGTTAATTTTCATTTTTGTTTTTATTTTTTTGGGCAACTAATACTATTTACTGTAATTCAACAATATTTATTTTTTTAATTAATTGACATATAAATAAATAAAATGCGATGTTAAAGTGTACATTGTTCTACGTCCTTTATTTATAAATTTTAAATTGTGAATCACATGACTGTTATCAACAAGTTGAATTGACCCTGTTGTGGAGACTATTTTGAAGAATGTTCCCAAGTTTTGATTCATTGTATGGTGTTCGTGGGCTGTTTCTTTGGTCTTCGGTGTTTGCTTGGTGGGGAGTTCCAATGTGCGTTGCTTCATCTATTGAGGAGCATTTTTCTTACAAGTGCCGTTATTTGGTCAAGAATTGATTGTAAGATACAGGGTGGTTTGTTGCCGCTACCTTGTGGTGTTTGCGGGAAATGAGAAACTCCCCGATTTTTGAAGGATTGGTATTAGAGATTCTTATACTTTGGTTGCGCAAATTAGAAGACTTTCTTTGGAGTGGTTAAAGGGTATGAATTTTAGGCTTCCTCTTGGATGCTGGATCTGGTCTCTTTAAGTGATACAAGTGTTGAGTGAAAAAATCTTATATTTAAGATATAAAAATGAAACACATAATTTA